ATTCAAGTCTTCAAAAAAAAAAAAAAAAAAAAAAAAAAGAAGAGCAAAATGAATTCATATTAAATGGTTATCTCACTAATTTAATTGGATAACTAATCATACACTAGTTCATAGAATTATTAATCTTTCACTGTTAATCCTGTTAATCAAGGCCTAAGTGACTAATAATACATGTTTTGTAATAAATATTAGGTAGAGAGATATTTGATGTGGATTCCCACGAATCTCATTTTGATAATCTGAATCGTTCATTTTATTTGACACATCGTGTATTTCATCCACGAAAAAAAAAAAGTTGATATGATAATCGTAACTTATTCAATTTATCACATTTTTTACCAAAAAAAAGACGACAGTTGTATTTTTAAAAATAAATTATTTATTTTTTGATAACAAACGCGATAAATTGAATATATTATGATTATCGAATCAATCTAATTTTGTATTGTTAAAATATACGAAGTGTCCGACTAATAAAAGGTTTGAATCATCAATATAGAAGCACTGGAGAATAGCAACATTGTCCGACTAATAAAAGGTTTGAATCATCAATATAGAAGCACCGGAGAATAGCAACATTTACCAATATTCTTGGTTTATTCCCAAACAAACACAATCTATCCGTAATTGAATGGTGTCACATTAATACACTAAAAAGAGGGGGTCCAACATAATTAAACCTATTACAAAATATCTAAGATGCTACAATTATTAACATATGAAATGCAGGTGCATGATAATGGGTGGAAGATACTACATTCAAGTGTAGAAGAAGAGAAAGAGGAAAGCAAAAAGGGATTCATAGAATCTCTCAAGGTATTAGAGGGAGAGCTTGGTGATAAGCCATACTTTGGAGGTGAAGCTTTCGGCTTTGTAGACATTGCTCTGGTCACCTTTTACAGTTGGTTTTACACCTATGAGACCCTTGGCAACTTCAGTCTAGAGCAAGAGTGCCCCAAGCTAATTTCATGGGCCAAGAGGTGCATTGAGAAAAATGAAAGTGTTTCCAAGTCTCTTCCTCACCAGCACAAGATCTATGACTTTTTTTTGGATTTGAAAAAGAAGATAAATGCAAGAACATGAGCTTATTAATACTATCATATCGGTCAAATAAAAAATAAGTTGGATCTAGGATCTCTAGTTTATTTCAAGTCACTTTTCTATTACAATAGATCTATTTGGTTTAACCTTATATGGTGAAGAGGAGTCTCAAAATAGGGTACTGTGAGATCCGAATAGAGAATTTCCTATTTATTTATGGTTACACTTTGTGTGTAATTTTTCTTTTTTCTTTTTCGTTCTCTGGTCTATGGTTGTTTGTGTTTATGTTTGTTGTCTTTTTAATTGTAATAGGGATAAAATAAAATAAAATAAAAATAAAAAGGTCGCCTGTATGTTGGAAATGCTATTGTCTTGTTTTTGTCCTAATGAATGTTCCAATTGAACAATGTGTTGTGAATTTCAAGACACGGATGTGTGATTGAAAGCATGTTGAGAAGAGTAATGATAGGAATATTAAATTTTTTATCAAATAAATGATCAAATGTCATGAATGTGGGGTATTTACAAATAACGGATCCCACATTCATGTGAGACATTTAGTCATTTATTTGATAGAAAATTTAACGCTTATAACATTTTCATACTGAAAAGGTTTAAGAGAGAGATTTGAATATAAAAATCTTTGACTTTTCAATTAGTACTCAACTCAAAATAACATATCATATAGAGAGTTTGACTCTTCAATATAATTTAAGATTTAAAATTTGGGATTTGAAAATTTAAGATTTAAGATTTAGGATTGTAGCTTTTAGAGAGTTTGGTATAATCAACATTTTAAACCTCTCATTTCAAAAGGTTTCAATTCAAAAGAGGTTTTGAGTTAGAATTCAAAACAGTTTAGCCTCCGTTTGGGAAGTGGGTTGATTTTTTGATTTTTTAGCTTTTTGGCTTTTATAGCTATTTTAGCATGGGCTAAAAAGCTTAGTTTGAGAATGACTTTTTGGCTTTTTAACTTTTTTGACTTTTTTGACTTTTTTTGTGAGAAAAGAATATAATAATTATGGGTTGGATGTGATGTTTTGTTTGTTATGGCTAAAATAGACTGTTCTATCTTTTGTGGCTAAAATAACCCAAGTAGCTCTTCCCAAACGGACCCTTAGTGTCTTGGCAACTTTAACATAATCAATAATATGTATAAGTACTGAACAACTAAGAATCTGTTAAATAGATTAATTTTTTTAGCATTAAATTTTTTTAGACTTGTTTTTAGTTAATAAATTAATTTTTTAGCACCCTTAAAAAAAAAGCCTTGGGCTAATAAGCCAGCGTGCCTAGTGTGCGCCCATCTCACTTCACTAGACTCTTCATTGCCCTCATGAGTATTTTAAAAATATACATATCGTCTAATTTTTTTAAAATAAATATAATAAAATAAAATAATTATAATTATAATTACCAGATTACGTTAATTTTTTTTTATGAATTATATACATGAAAGACTTTACAAAATAAACGGTTAAAATTATTAAAATAGGATCTGTGATGAGCTCTTAGATCCCTCAAATTATCCTAAATTGAGATTTGAACTTGTAAAATAGCCCAATCCATAATAATAATACGTGAACACATGAGATAGTACATTAAATAAGTATAATAAAATTATAAGGGTAAATTACACTCACCTTCCTTGATATTTAAAAATATATATACATATATATATAATTAGTTCCACACTTTTAACATTATTACACCAACCTCCCTTTTAGTATGGTAAAAAGAAATGATAACATTATTTTTTTAATTTATACAATAATAAATTACTGATAAAAAAAACTTAAAAATTATATAAATTAAAATATTAAAAAAATTAATGTAATTATATTAAAAATGTGAATCTAACTATATTTTCTTCCAACAGTCAAGTGAGTGTAATTTACTCAAACTATAAGGGTAGGTATTATTGAGAGGAAGCATTAGGCCCCGTTTATTTTGGGAGATAGAATGGTGGGGATTGATAGTGAGAGAATTGTTAGTGAGGGGATTGATAGTGAGGGGATTAATAATGAGGAATTGTTAAATTATTTTTATATAAAATAATAGAACAAATAAAAAAATATAAAAAATTAAACATTATATTTAAAAAAAATTCCCAAAAAATAAAAAATAAAAAAATTTCTAATCCCCTCACTATTTTCTAATATCATCTCTACCTCCTCCTTACCAATTCCCCTTCCAAGGGTATTAGTAATACCAAGAGACTAATAGTCCCAAGGCTATCTCTGCAAACAAACAAGGGCATTAATAATACCTTGGCATTACTAATCTCAATACCCTCCCTATAACCTAAAACAAACGAGGCCTTAATGTCTTGATTAGCAGGCCAAGAAAGAGTCAACAACACACGCATTGGAAAAGAGGTAATAAAGTTTCATGATCAATAACCTTGTAATATGAAAATTGCTATGAATATAATTTGTCAAGAATGTGTTTGGTTTCATTTGAAATGTGGGTTGATTTTTTAATTTTTTAACTATTTTAGTTTGCAGTTAAAAAGTTTGTTTGGGTTAAATTTTTTATTTTTTTATTTTTATAAAAAAAAAAGTAAAATGATTATGATTTGAATTAATTTTTTAGTCTATTTTGTTTTTTAGTAACTAAATTAGCCGCCAATCTCAAAAAAGTTCCGTGCCAAACGAGAGCTTTCTATAATAGAGATTAAAAATTTATGAAGTATGGATTCTATAAATAAAACAAATTTTAACTATTGATTTATTTTTCTAAATAAATTTTAAACTTATGAGTCTGAATTTATATTCTTAGGCCAAGTTTGGCATGTCTTGAAAAAGACAAAATGTCAAAAAGTCACTATCCTATTTAAGTCACATCATCTTATTTAAGTCACATCATCTCTCTAACATATCACTTCAAACCCAATCTAAACCCAACCCATATTTCATAAAAAATCAAAAAATACACTTATTTAGATCATCCCAAACAATCCCTTATTGTTGTAATATTTTATTTCACAATTGACAGGTGAATTTAAACTATAAAAAGTCCTTGTTCCACCAGTGCCCGAAGTTGTTCAAATGTCCATAGATTTGACTTTTGGGGCATAGTTTGGATGAATTTTCCGTTTGAAAAAGACTCCAAATAAATTAATGACACCCCTTAAAAATGATAGATCGCTACTTTCATGGGCAAAAACATAAAGCTTCTGTTTGGGAAGTGAGTTATTTTTGGTTTTTTTAATTATTTTAGTTTGAGTTTAAGAAATCTAATTTGGAAAGAATTTTTTAATTTTTTTAATTTTTTGACTATTTGGTGAAGTGTCTTCTTATGAATTTACCAAAGTGCCCTTGATAAGATTTGTGCCTGTAATTGAAATGTAGTTGACGTCCACGTTAGCTTCCCAACGATCCGAACTTCTTGTTTTTTTTTTTTTTAGTTTTTTTCTTATTTTCGGTTTGGATTTGACATTTTTTGCTAACCTTTTCTTTTTTTTGGGGGGGTTTTGATTTGGCCTATTTTGTTTAATTTTTTTTATTTTTTATATTTATATTTTGGGTTTTATTTTTTTTGGTATAATATTTATTTATTTATTTGTATTTTGGGTTTGGATTTGGCGTATTTTGTTTAAATTTTATTATTTTTTATTTTTTATTTTGGGTTTTATTTTGGCTTATTTTGGTAAAATAATTTTTATTTTTATTTTTATTTTTTATTTTTTTATTTTGGGTTTTTTTTTGGCATATTTTGGTAAATTATTTATTTTTTTTTATTTTGGGTTTAGATTTGGCGTATTTTGCTTAACTTTTTTTTTTTTAAATTTATGTTTTTGTTTGTTTTATTTTTTTATACTTTAATTAGTTCTTATTCTTTAATTTACGTTTTTTGCCTTATTTATTTTTCGAACCCGCTACAGAGCTCGAATTACTTAGGCTCGAAGTTGGCTCGAATTTTAAACGGCGTCATTTTTGTATTTTTTTTTTTAGCAAAAGAAAGAAGACGAAGAAGAGAAGGAGGGGGAGGGGAGGGGGAGGAAGGACTGGAGAGGGCCTAAAAAATGGAAGAGGAGGGGCTATCGGCAGAGGCGAGGGACGGACCTGCGACGACGACCTGCTGCCTACGACGACGACCTGCCTGTGACGACGAGCTGCTGCCAGCGACGAGCTGCCTGCGACGACGAGCTACTGCCAGCAACGACGACGAGCTGCCTGCGATGACTCTCGCCTCTGTTTCTCGCCTCCTCTGTAACAGAAGAAGGAAGAAAAAGAATGGAAAAAAAAAAATCGATTTCGAGCCAGATTCGAGCCACACATTTCGAGCACTCAAACATTTTCGTTTATTTTTATTGGTATACAATAACATTTTTTTTATGTGTTTCATTTATTTGTAAATTACGTGGCGAATGGTAATTTATGTTTTCTTTTTTATTTATTTTGTTTCAATGAGGCGTATTTTCTGGTTTTTTTTTTTTAATTTACGATTTTGTCATTTTTTTATTCACTCACTTTAATTTGTTTTTATTTTTCAAAAATAGATTTTCAGGTGTTTTATTTATTTGTAAATTACGCGGCAAATGCTAATTTCTGTTTTTTTTTTTATTTTTTATATTCCTTTTACTTATGGATGAGGCCTATTTTTGTTTTCTTTTTCGAACTGGATTTTCTCTGTGGTTTTTGGTTTTTCAGAGTTAGGCACGTCACCAACTGGAAGTGGGTATATTCCCGTGTAAACACATACATATTGTACATTATAATATTTTTGAATACAGTCTGTTCCACATGTGTTACCAATGTTCCAACCCTACGAAAATTATGTCGACTATTATATATTTCTTAACATTCCGTTATTACGCATGTAACATAATTTGTCGCGTATGCGAAGGCGCACCAATGCCATATGCGGGTCCTCATCCCCAATCATTAAACCATCCTCGTCATGTTCAACTTTTGGTATGGCATTTACTATTGCCATTGCCTCTTCCTCGTCACAGATTGGGTGAACAGTTGTTGGATTACCTGTGTTTCGCGGTATGTAATTATGTAATGCCATTGACGCACCTACTAACTGAACTTGCACATTTGCAAAGTCATAGCGGGGCATGTCTCGAATAAACCACCATCGATTTTTCCAGGCACCGAAAGTGCGTTCCACCACACTGCGTAATGACGAGTGAACTTTGTTATATAATTCCCTTGGCGTGTTTTCCATTGTGTTCCGTGCAATATGTCGGAATTCTTGTTGGTGGTAACGGTGGCCTTTGAATGGTGCTAAGTAACCTATCCGGTTTGGATAGCCATAATCGACAAGATAATATTTGCCTGCAGACATGACAACAATGTATGACACGAAAACCAAACATTGTGCTTCATTTTCAAGTAACGCTATTTCCGGAAAAAAATGTATAGCCCCATAAATCT